CTTTAAAGTTTTAAAAGCTGGTTCCCATGAGGGTGAGCTGACAAATATTCCCTTAAAGCTTCACATGCAGACTAAACACAGTAATTATTACAAATATCATTTCAATCGTCGAATACATGAAGTGATAGAACGTAGACGCTGTGTTCAGAGCTCTTCTTAGAGCACAGTCCTGCTCCTGTGAGCTTCACCTCCACCTTCAGATCTTGCCGTGAAAGTCGGATCTCCTTGGCGAGCGCGACTCGCTCGCGTCTTGGTACGAGGCAGTTAGCTGTTGGAGCACCTCTATCCCCTGGAGGAACCAGCTGCTCTCTTGTTTTTTGACTCTCCACAGGCTGTTCTCTCTCTCCATGCAGCCTCCCAGGGGATTTACATGACACCTGCTGAGCTTAAATGGAGGATTCTCTTCTTCTTCAGAGCAACAACAATTTTCATTCACCCATCTGTTTAGGAAACAGTTATGATGCCTGCTTTTGACTCTAAGCATGCCAGCAATGCTTCCTAAACTGCAAGCACGAGCCTCTTTCATCTTGTAGCATGTGATGAAGCCTGTTTTATGTCTTACATGGATGGTGCCATTTGCTACCTTTCCTCAAGGTTGAGGTAGACGCAGTAACGGAGTAATGGGAGCGAGTGCATAAATTATCCATACCTTCAGGACTGTTCTCATGTTTAGCTGATTGGCTCATGAGACAGCGAGTAGATTTTCCTCAGGTGCTGTCAATTTGCAGCCTTTTTCCTTCCTTCCTCCTCCTCCATCCTCTGGTCTCTGTTCTCCCTCCGTCATTCACCTTTCCCCGTCGGCAGTGTCACGTAACAACGATAACATCTCTGTCAGAGCAGGAGGAGCTGATGAGGACCCACCTCGAGAGACAAGCGTGTCCGCATCACATCTGTTTAAATGACCTCCTTCGGCCTCGCACACCTCGCTGACTCCAAACCAGCAGAGCTGTTGCTGGAATTGGACCCCTGTGCACTGTTGCATGCACACACACACACACACACACACACACACACACACACACACACACACACACAATCTATTTTTAGATCTGTTTTTCCAAATATTGGGCCATATTGCAGAGAGGTGCAGTCACCGGTGTTTGTTGTGAGTGTTGCTTATTACTTTATCTGCTGCTCCTCTGATGGTCACCTTCAGAATACACAATGAGTTTATTAGGTGATCCACAGAAAACTGTAATATTGGTACTAATATAATAATCATAAGCTGTTGCCTATGAGCAGGAGGAAGATCGTTCCACTCCATAAGTAACTGATTTAGTCTGATTCCTTTCAGTCCAACAGTAGTGAAGGATTCATACACATTATTTGCTTTTGCAGATTACATCAGTTGTTTTGAGCTATGACAACTTTCTAATAAAATGATGTCCGACCAACAAACTAGATTAAGTTAGAGGCATTAGCTTTCTTTCTTAAACTGCTGAAATCTCTTAAATGTATTTTTAATTAGCGCTCTGAAATCGGAGGGGACCTGAAATCCTGATCTGAAGGCGAAGAAAAATGACGTCATCAAACCCATTGTATTAAGTTACCTCTGTTTAAATTTAGTTATAAATCAACGAACTCAGAGGTTTGCGATTAAATTACACACAGTGTTAAGTTGATGCAATTACCAACATTATTATGTCGACACAACGTATCACAATGATGTTGATGATTTATTTATTTATCGCTATATTAAGTATTACAAGTAAAGTTCTGCACTGAAAACATAACGTAAAACTATTAAGGCATTACCATGAAAAAATTCTGAACGTAATAAAAGTGTTAGTGCATAGTACAGAAAATGCCCCCTGAGACCGCTATGTTCTTAATACAGTAAATGATATCATTAGATCATTATTATTGATCATGCATGAATGTAAAAGCAATATTTTAATGTTGTATTTGGTTAAAGTTCAACTCAACTGTTTTACCTTCAGCTCAGCTAAAGATTCTTTTTATTGTGAATTTATCTGCTTATTATTTTCTCCATTATTTATTGATTGTTTGGTTGGTTTGTGAAAATTCTGAAAATAGTCAGCAATGCCGTCACAACCGTTATCAGAATAGTTTTCTGTCAGTCAACGAACTGATTAATCAACGTATCGTTTCATTTGTGCTCATATAAATTGTTGGGTAGATTCATCGGTAACAAACACAACTTCTTCAAATGATTTCTGTAAAAAGGTAGCTGTCACATAAATGTAGTGAAGTAAAACACACTAGAAATGCAATATTTCCATTTGAGATGTACTTAAGTGGAAGAAGAGAGCGGCATGAATAGAAACAAGTGCCTGAATTTCCAGGTTAAGTTTCAGACTTACTCAAAAAGTGAAACGACAGGTGTGAATTTGACAGAAATAACCAGTGAGATCCGTCAATCAGAACTGACTGTTGAATCCAAAATATGAAGAAACCTGTCTTCTCATACAGTCCACATAGCAGACTAAAAGCAGGGCTTAATGTGAGCTTTCCGTTTTCGTTTCTTGATAATTCTACTTTAAAACATTCGACTTAGCTCCTTTTGCTAGTTTTTAAAAATGTTTTCGAATGATTAGTGTAATTAGTCAGATTAGTGTGTTCACTCTGATGGTTTGTTGACCAATTTATTGAACTGAAAAAAATAATTATGTCAAAAGTCTCCACACTCATATTTTCAATTTTTATTTAATTGTAGCTGCCGGTAAAGTCAAACTGTGCTCGCGAGTACTAAAATCAACGCGCAGAAGTCAACGAGAAAGGAAGAGAAGTCAAGGGAACAGATGACAAGGTTGCACGACCAGATTGGGGGGAAAAAAATGGCCGGTTTCTGAACACACAGTAAACAAACAGCGACTCTAATTACTGTTCTGTGGCAGAAGGACAGCACAGCAACGTAATGTTTAGCTTCACCACATGGCTGTTGACGGGTGGAAGTGGGAGAAGGTCACGGCCGGGCCATGTGGATGCTATAAGCCGAGAAGGGGAGGGAGGTGTGAGAGAGATGGTGTATAATCTGAAACAGGGCACATGAAGCAGGTGCAGTGCGCCGCGCTGCAGACGGGGGGCGTTGTAGGACCTGGTAATCTGGAGGGATCCGGCAGAAACCGTGCGATGAGGTCCCCGCCGCCAGAGCTTCAGCGGTCGCTCTCCCTCACTCGCACTTCTTCCCTTCCCGTCTCTCTTCAGCCTCAGTGTTTCTCAGCCACTCATCCTGCCGCCGCTCTCCTCCTCCATCTCTACTCCGTGGAGTGCACAGAGAAGTGATTCGGCTCGTGGGCTGGCTGGCTGGCTGGCTGGCTGGCTGGCAGGCAGGCAGTGTCTAGATTGGGCAAACAGAGGCAGAGTTGAGGACCTGAGGGACAGGACAGTTGTGTATTTGTGGGGGGGGGGATTCCAGCGGGAAAGATCCGGCGCAAGATTTCCTCCAGCGGAGACTATTTGCATCACAAAACCTGTGGAAAGAGGACTGTGACACTGTACTGGCTGCACAACCGCTGTCCGCGCAAGAGGTGCCATTTAGTGTGTTAATTCAGTGTGTGCGTGTGTGTGTGTGATTTTGAGTGTTCTCACCTTTTCAGTATGCACATTCATTGGCTTGGCTTCTTTTCTCATGCAAATGCAAATTGGCAGGTTGTGCTGCTCCACAGCTTTGACAGAGACACAGATGCAGCCGGTCTCTGTAATTCAGGTTTGCATGATTAGAATGCAACGCTCTGTGAATTAGTTTCGGATTAATGCATGTCGCCGCGCGTGTGTTTGTGCGCCTTTCCAGAACACACGAGTGAAGAACCAGAATGTCCTAAATAATTGATCTCCCCAGTACGACGGAAAACTTCCAAACTAGGTTATTGTTGAATTAATGCTCCTGCTCATTATGTTTCTGCCTGAGTAGTGCCTTTATAGTCAGTTGCATGTTTGGATGCGTCTACATGTGTGTGTTGTTGACATGGACGCTATCATGCTTGGATGTCATTGCCTCAGGTTTGCATGGGTGGGAAAAGAAGAAGGGAGGGGAGGAGGGGGTGGGGGGCTAAATGCTGTGTGGCACTGAGCCAAGTTGCTGATTTAAACAGGATATTGAAGGTTAGACGAATGTCTTTCCAGCCGGTGCACCCACTCCGTCTGCTTCTTTACTTCTATGCAGAGGAGCAGCAAGAAGGACAAGTGTGTTGGTTAAAGCAGGAGGAATCCCTTAAGTAACATCAGTCAAGATGCCCCCCCGTCCCTCCTCCCCTCATCCGTCCTGTCCTGCCTCCATTTCAAATGTGATTATAGGAGTGTGTGGCAGAATGGATGGATGGGGTATTTGTCGGGGAAAGGGGTGAGGAGGGGGGATGGAGTTGATGCTTGTTTTAGCTTGCCCCTTTCTACGCCCCCGTGGGATTTGCCCCGGCCTTCCATCTCTCTTATCCCTCGCCTCTCTGTCGTCCCTCCATCACCGTTTTTTCTTCCTTATCCTTGGTCGTGCTGAGCCAGCGAGATTTACTGGTTTTAAGTGGGAGTCCATTCACAGAACTGGGACTGCTGGAAAGACAGAGGGGGGAGGGGGCAACCAGGTGAGGATGAGGAGAAAGGATGTAATAATAAAAAAAAAAAGCCCCCCAGTGAGAGGGGAGGGGGGAGTCCGTGGGTGATTTATGTGTAGACATTTCTCCACACGTGTTTGGCCACTGCTCCAATTAACACCTCCACCAATCCGTGGCTGCGCTTGACAGATGCTCAATCTGAGAAAGAGAGCGCAAAGTCTGTTCGTTAGTGTTTGTTTTGTGGAATTTTAGAGAATTTCAAATTGTTTACTGCTGTTTTCTCAGAGATTCTGGGTCATTTGTCGCTTGGATCTTCCTCCGCTTCTTCCCAAGTTTGAAAATGCAACAAAAAAAAAGGATAATTCACATCAGCAACAAATCCAGCTGTCCCCGTTCTGAGCGAGGACTGATGAGGCTCTTTAATTCTAAAGGAATAAAAAAAACGTTCCATTCATGTTGGAGTGACTGATTGGATTTCGATGTGATGGTCAGATTCTGATTGCTGGTCTTTGTGTTCCTCCAGGGGGCGTGATAGACAAGGACCTGCGCCACTACCTCAACCTGCGCTTCCAGAAAGGCTCGGTGGACCACGAGCTGCAGCAGATCATCCGGGACAACCTCTACCTCCGCACCGTCCCCTGTGAGTTCCCTTGTCCTTACTCGCCCTCCTTTTGTCCACCCTTATCTCTGCTCACCTCCTTGAGTGAGACACTATTATTTTTCCTTTTGCCAAGGCTGGATTATCAATAAAGCCAAGTGTGCAATTACAAAGGGGGGCCATAGACTCCAGGGGCGCCAAGAGCTCCAGGTTCACTGTGTGGCAGGCTGTTTGTGGTAATTTGATTAATGAAAATTTTGAGTTGTAAGACGGATAAAACAGGAAATGGTCATAATCAGAGCAGCAAAGGGCAACATATGAAGCTATTAAGGATTTCACAGAAAACAACATCTTTCATTTCACCTTCTCTGCCTCATAAATTCCCACTTCTGGTAAACCGCACACCTCCAGCTTGTAACGCGGGCTTTCTGCCATAAATTATGGAGCTTAAGATATGTCTGACATCGCCGTGGCATCGTCAGGGTTATATTTTCAAAATTTGAAAAGCCCCCTCTGGAGCTTCAGAGCACAGAGTAATTCTCCTCACCACATATAATGTGACTCAAGGAAATGCATATTTATCTACACTCACTTAAGCTGAGCTCATACTGCAGGAGTTTTAAACTCTTAACAGATTTTGGAGTGGAGTTGCATCTCGCACATAACATTTTACAGATATTCCTCTCTCTAATCTCAGATATGCACACAGGATTCAAAAAATAATGATGCATCTCGCCCTACAGGACATTAATAAGACTATTGTGCCTGAGGGAGCAGAGCACCACCTCATGTGATCTCACGGGGAAGCAGATGTAAACAAAATGGAGACTGTGGTGCAACAGCTTGCAGTAACACTAATGACACTTTGCAGTGAAAAAAACCCTGGATGAGAAAATGTTTGGGAAGACGGAGTCACGTGGTTCGTCGACACTTTAGCAAGATTACATTTTAAGTATTAACAGTTGTTGCCTAAAGAGCTCGAATGTTTAGTGTTTGCTTTGCGTCCTCTGCTCTGGCACCGACAATCACAACCGTCAACTCATAAATATCAAGCGTATTTGCTTTTATCAGGAGGATTAAGACTGAATCTGAATCTGGAAACCCCTTCACATTTCCAAATATTCTAAGCCAAACTTCCAAGATCTCCAGATTTCTCCTTCAAATGACAGAAGAGGGCAAACCGGGTAAATCAGCCTGAAACTCCTGTAGTGTGAGCCCAGCTTTCGTTTTTATGGAACCTATCTGCAGATGAACACAGTGTGATGTGATCTAAAGCTCAAAAAGAAGCAATTAAGTAGACCTTGAGTTAAGGGTGTGTGGTCATAACTTAGTGTCATTAAGCAAACGTGAAGCCTGGTAAGTTGCTGTGCATTGACGAGTAACCGAAGGCAACAGGGACGTATACATGCACAGAATTTGGGAGGACTGTGGCTTCCCGATAGGTGGATCCAGCTGTGCTTCCTGCTTGGTTCCTCTTGTTTTTGAAGCTCAGGGTGTGTTGAATATGCCGAACTTTCCATCTAACGAGATGTGATATCTTCTTCTTCCCCTGTTTGCTTCGTTCTGTTGGTTCCAAAGCTCCCAGATACCTGCCTGCGCGCTGATCGATCAGCTGCTTGGAGTGTTGGTTTAGCCGGAATCAGTCTTGTCTGGAAGTTTCGACTCTTTAAAACCAAGCGTTGACTGCAGCTTTCTGTCTCTAATTAGCTGCATTAACTGCCTTACAAGAGCACACGATTGTAACGGAGTGTTGTGTAGACAATCAAAGATAAGGCTTGGAGGACTTTACGCTATTGATGCTCGGTGTTTTTAGTTCAGGATTGCTTTTCAAACCGAATGCTTATCTAGGTCTTGGATGCTGTGTGTGTTATTAGTGTGTGTGTGGCCTTTTTTTAGGTTTATTAATCCCGGCAAGTGCTTCTACAGACTCAGACGTACAGATGTTTAATCCATATTCTTTTCCATTTATTTGCTGAATATATGCTCATTGCCATCAGTCAATAAGTTGTGATATTAAAGGGTGTCTGTTTGTGTGTGTGTGTGTACAAGCTCTTATCTGTGTATAGTGTGTGTTAGCCTGGCTGTGCCATTAGGCCCAGCTGTCTGGTGGCTAACTCTCCCCTGAATCCTTAATGGAGGTGCATTTTTCAAGGCCAGGAGCAGGCAGATTTCTGTTTCCCTCGCCGAACAGAATACAGCAGGAGAAACAAACAAAAAAAAAACAAGCAATTTATTTGCAACACAAGCATAATTTTCTGTGATAACCACTCATGGAGACACTGCCGGTGAAGCACTGAAGATAGAGGAGGAGGTGAAGAGTAAAGGGTGGGAACAAATAGGAGAACAAATAGAGGTAGAGAAGTACAAAAGGGAATGAGGGGGAAAGGGGAGGACGATGATAGGGACACCGGCTATAATAACCACATGAGGAAATGGACCGCAGATAAACTATTGAAGAGAGAGAGAGAGACAGAGAGGTAAAGGAAGGTTAACTGGTGCATTAATGAAGCTTCAACAATGGGCCTCAGTGCTGCTGAGAGGAGGAGACTTCGTCATGACTGAGCTGGGCTTTTTATATCTGGACAGATGGATGGATGAGGAAAATGTATGCTAGTGAAGTTCGCACAGAATGCATTGTGATTACAAATCAATTAAACTGGTCAGACAAGATCTAGTGCCGGTGTTGGCTCGCACTGTGATTGGATCTCAGGTGTAAATGCCGTTTGCACAGCGTTCACATTCTTATCAAAAAAATCTACCAAACCGAGCTAAGATAAGACGGCGACCCATGTACAGGGGCTACAGTCCCCGACACAGCGGCCGCGGGTCGAGTCCAGCCAGTGGCGTTTCACGTTTCCCTGTATCTCCTCACTATCCTGTCAAATAAAGATGAAAAATGCCCAAAAATAGTCCTAAAAAAAAAAAAAGAATCCACCATACGACTTCAGATTTCACCTTAGCCAGAGCAGATGTCATTACCCAGATTGTGGATGATACAGCTAATTGTTAATCAATTAATTGCTGTTAATAATTTAATCAATTTAAATTTTATTAACTGATAAGGAAGTCGATGAGGGACACACATATCAGGAAACGGCTGTGTCCGAAATCACTCACTATACCCTCTATAGTGCATTATATAGGGTGTTCGCCATTTTGTAGTGCTGTCCAAATGATAAGTTACTATTGTTACTCAAAGTATCCCACAATGCACCAAGAAAAGTAGTGTACAGCCGATGGTCACTAACAAACCAATATGGACCATCATGCATTGTGCAAAAGGAAATGCAAACTTGTCGAACGAGACCGCGAAAACTTGTCATTAAAATGTAAGTAATTTCAGGTTTTGTTAAATTTTACTTTACCCGTTTCTTAGCTATGCAATAAACTGTGAAGTTGATGTGTTTGCACTATGCTGCTACGGCACAAATTGCAGCTCACGAGCGACGTAATTAATAGCTTGAGTAGTGTCTGAAATGTTATTTTGCCGAGGTGCTCCCTATGTAGTTTACTATATAGTGATCCTTATATAGTGAGTAGGGAGTGAGTGGATGATTTCAGACAAAGCCAACCTGTTGTAGATGAACTGTAGTATCTGGTCGCCCCACCAGGTGGAGCCTCTTACTGTGTCATGAGATGGAGTTACAGGTGTGCTTGCTGACTGCCTGTAAGGGTCCATAAAACAAGCACACCTCGCTGCTGTCCAACCTCCAACATGTACTGCATCAAGTTGTGAAACAGGTGTTTGGCAGCTGTCTGGTTTAGCTAGCTACCTCAGGCTCGTGCAGTTGCTTAACTACAACATAGAATTCTAACACAGGCTGGGAACTAAGCAGCTAACATGCAGCAGCAGCAGCAAGACTCTTGATTCCATGCTTCCATCAACATTGATGCGAAAGTGTTAAAGTGTATTAGCGACACTCCGCTTTGGATATAAATACATTCTGGAGGCAGCTCTAAATACTGACAGATTTCCTGGACTGAAAAAGTTGCTGGAACAGTATTTGTTGACATCTGTTGCAGCAGAACATCTGTTTCCAGCAGCTGGACTAAGTACAGCAAACCAGTCACTCCATCATATAGATCAGGTAGGGGGATTATTTTTAAGTAGGACCATTATGACTCAAGTCAGCTGTGAAGTGAGTATTAGCGTTACAGGTTATTTACTGTGAAAGACTGCAGCTGGTTTTTCTGTCACCTGGTGTTTACTTTATCTGTTCTTCGAATCTTGAATGCAACCGAGCAGAACTTGTGGTAAACATTAAGCGTCCGTGGTTAAAAACAGTTTTATCAAAGTATGGAAGCACTTTGACTGTATTTCATTCATTTTAACCATTAATTGATTATTGATTGTTGCCATAACCCACTACCAGTGAGGGAAATTATTTAAAATTTGCATCGCTAAGTAGACAAAGTATCCTAATATCGCTTGCAAGTGAGCCTTTGGTTTAAATGACTCACAAATGATGTGGACATTCAGGAAGACAACACAAGACAGAGAGTGAAAATGCATCACTTAAATTCATAAAGAAAGAGCTACATTGGAGCATGCTGAGATGTATAAGTGATAACTCTAAAGGGGCGAGAGGGAAAAGAAAATCATAAGTGATAGATATGAAGGGCTTCATCATAGCAATTTTAACATAACCCTTGAGTGGTAAAGAAAAGACAACGTTCGGTGGGGATGGGGACTGACGGGCAGACAGTAGAGAGTTACTGCCAGTCATACCAATCGCGAAGCTTGGACAGAGTCAGCGAGGGCAGCTAAGGCTGTGCCAGCTCTTAGACAAATTGCCTGGTTGAAATCCAAGGTCAGAGCGTTAATAGCCTGAGCCCATGTGAAATCAGGCCTATCGCCTGGTAATCCACATAGATTTGATGGGGGAGATAGAGAGCGGAGCGAAATAAGTGTGTGCGAAATACTCATGATACCTATGCGGGATACACGGATCGAGAACAGTGGAATAATTAAAGTACAGCTGACTTGGACAAAACGTATCAATTAAATATGGTTTTTATTATCACAATCATTACTGTATGCT